CTTTAATAAGATTGGGAGCAAATTTTGAGGCAAAATACATCATGCTGGCTCAAAAGACAAACTTGGGAATTGGACAATTATTATTGAAATGTTCTGAAGCAGTACTGGACTGCTTTTCATATGCTTTCTTTTGTGTGCAGGCTTTCATATACAGTATATGACTCATAAATAAATAGATAAAACTCATAATCAAGTTGTTCACATTTGTTCTGAACATTCAACCAGACATCCAAGCCATGGAAGTGTTCGACAGCCAACATTTTCAATGAAGAAAATAAAAAAAATCTGACAATGAAATTATGACTAAGCAAACTTTTAATATTCTTATAACCATTATCCTCATGACAGGAAAAACAACTTGATCCAGGGAAGATTCAGACACTAGAATGCTTCAATATGAAGCCCTGTAAAACGCTTGTCTTTTCAGAAAGCCAGTGACGTATTTTAAAAGTGTGGGCCTTCACAGCTACAGCCCTCCAGTGAATACTTCTGACAGCCAGTAGATGAATGGACTAGGAGCAGGCCTAGAGAGGTGGGGGGAATGGGGGTTCTGTGATCATTGTACTCTGATTGGCCAGTGAATCAATCAATCAAGCCCTTGGGAAGCAGTGAAGAGGAATGGTGAGAGAATGAAGTGTTTTGTTTAGGTTAGCCCTATGGCCAGGCCCTGCTGGCTCAGTGTCAGTCAGAGGTAACCCCAACTCCGTGCTTTATTTACTCCAACTAAAAGCACTCTGCAGCACCTTTAAGTCCAGATGTAATCTGGACACACAATTTCACAAGTACTGCAGGTCCCCTCTCGTCAGTGGCGATTAAGACTGAACAGGCTGACTCTGATCAATGCTTCCTTAGAGTGATTTCACCAGTGAAATCTTTAGCAATGTTCTTTATGCAGGTAGATTTATTTTGTCTGTTGGAGGCTAAAAAATATATCTAAACAGAAAGACTTCTGACAACAGCTGAACCAGTAAGAAGTTTCTACTTTCATTAGTATTCATCTCATGGGAGAGCCCTATTTTGCATGCCATAATGAGTTTGAAGGAATTAATAAGCATCAGTTAAGCGGGATGTACTATAATTGGAAAGCTGAGCATTTGAAATGGCTGCATTCACACATGACACACATTTCCCACTAAGGATATATACAGTTCTACTGAAAGGAATCTTGCTTGTTAATTTTGGGATGAATCACTCCCGAAAGGTGAATCTTTGTTAGAGAGGTGACTGTCTAAGTAGGAGAGACTGAACAGAAATAGACTAATGAGAAAGATTTCTGTTTGTCTGTGTGGGATATGGAAATGACTAGAAGAAGTGAGATGAATATAGAAGGAAAGAGAAAGAAAATACTCCATTGAGGACATTATGTTGTTATCATCTTACTGAGAATTAGCCTGGGTTTATAATTGGGATTAGTTTTAAGATCCAAAATTATTATAGTCCAAACTTTTCTGTAGAAATTATATTCCCTACTTCTTTCTTGGAATACAAGTTCATTAGTTTGCTGAGGGAGAAGGTCATATTAGCTGTTCTGCTGGCACCACAATCCTGACCCAGCATGCAGTATCAGATAGTAGTACACCTGACCTGAAAAGCTATTGCCACTGAACACAATCCAGGGGGCATCACAATTACAATAAATGTGAAAATAAATTACATATGGTATTTCCCAGTATTATTGGTATGTTTATTATCTTACATCTGAGATGATGTACAATAGTAAATTGGGAGTAAGAAAATTTAAAAAAGAAAAAACATCAACAAATCTAAGAGAAACCCACAAAAAATTGTCATTTGTGATGTTTTTTTGTTGTTTTTTTTTTTTTTTAAATCATTCACTGAGTAGATATTACAACTTATAAGATGGTTTTTGGAGTGTGTTTTTTGGCAGACAGGGTTCCCTCGGCTTTTCATGGTTAGCCACAGTCCGTCGATCACGTGCACGAATAAGTACTGAATCTGTTTTACTATGGCCATACAATCCCAGTAAAATTTGCAAAAAAAAAAAAAATGTTACAAAGGTTGTATCTTTTGTTTCTTACCAGGAAAACAGTAATGATGCTGTTGCACAGCTGACGAAATGCATTTGTAATAAAAACAGGTCTACAGATGTCTACTCTGCCATCCAGGTACCTCGACTGACAGGCATCGTGGTGGCTTAAAGACACAACAGACACTGCTGACACTAATCCATTAAGTCCTTGTCCTGCCTGTATAGACATATGTCCTGTAAGTACAAAGCAATGTCTTAATCAGGCCATGTATCATGCTCTTTTTCCACCTTCCCTCACAAGTTATAAATGATTATTTATGACACTGGCAGTAGCACTGAATTCAGTGCGATCAAAAAACCCTTGCAGAACAGTCTGTCTGCCAGGCAGGTTTTGACATTAGCAGAAATCTGTACTTTCTTTTCATAAACACTCCATGTTTTACATGAAGTGCTGGTGGCACAAATGAAACAGTCACGGGATCACACAAGTGATTAGACCACAGTTTTTGGGAACTATATATATATAGTCGTGACTCAATAATACATCCTAGCTGGAGTCTATCACAGGGCCACACTTAGAGACAGACAACCAAGCACACTCACATTCACACCTACAGACAATTTAGAATCATCAATTAACCTCAACATGTTACCAATTAACCGCAACATGGGAGGAAGCTGGAGAGCCCAGAGAGAACCCATGCTGCATGGGGAGAACATGCAAACTCCACGCAGAAAGATCCCGGTGCCCCCACCGGCCTTTCTGCGACCTTTTCGCTGCGAGGCAACTAACCACCGAGCCACCTTGCGGCCCCTGTGACTCGATAATCCAACGCTAAATGTAAAACTCTCTTTTATGTCGGATAGCAAGGCTGTCGGATTGTCAAGACGGAGGTCGAGATACAAGGAGGGCTTGATGCTTGAAGGTTAATTTGTTGTTAATAGTCATTGTTTATAGTAGTTATAACAACCAGTGTCTTGTTAGAGCACTACGCATCACTACGCATCATTTCACACCTAATTGCACCTTCCGGCCACTTCCACCCCAGGGGAGCACACGGGGTGGAAGTAGCCGAAACGCACAGGCAGTACTTGACTGACGTCGTTGCATTAGATATTATGTTAGGGCATGTAGTCATTTCAGGTCATTAGTATTTACCAAATTGAACAATGGGGAAATTAAAATCACCTTTCCACTGTGGAAAACGAATGTAATGAGCAAAGATTGTACCTAATTTTTGTGCATTATGACAAGTAGATGGTGACAGGGAAGTGGATTTTCATTGCTATCCTATTCCACTCCAAAAAAAGAAAAACAAAAATACTCCTGTCCTCAGTCCCTCAATCCCATAATCCCGAAGTTGAAAATGTATGTTTATAATTACACTATTTTGTAGGACATTGACAGTGGCTAAACACTGGTCTAGTTGTGGTAATATTGTCATCAGGGATAACAAGCAACCAGCCAGCACAGCAGACAAGAAAGAATAACAAAGAAAAAAGACAACAGAATGGCAAGCATTTACCCACTTTTATTATGATACCCATCCTGCACACTTTTTTTTTCCTGTCCTGTCCCACTCGTGTGATGAATAGTGACAT